CACACATCTTCATCCAAACTGGATATGACATATCTGTTACATTTTTATCATTCTTATAGGTAAAATTAATCAATATTCTAATACGCATCTTGAAGTATTGATCAGGATTATTTTATTTCATTTAAACTACTAATTTGTATATCTGGCTCATTTTTCTATTGGGTTTTTTTCTTTTCTTTTTTCTTCGAGACGGGGTCTCGCTCTGTCACCCAGACTGGAGTGCAGTGGTGCGATCTCCGCTGACTGCAAGCTCTGCCTCCCGGGTTCACGCCATTCTCCGAGCCCGCCACCACGCCTGGCTAATTTTTTGTATTTTTAGCAGAGACAGGGTTTAACCGTGTTAGCCAGGATGGTCTCCATCTGTGGTCTCCCTAACCTGTGAACTGTCCGCTTTGGCCTCCCAAAGTGCTAGGATTACAAACGTGAGCCACCGCGTCCAGCCGTTTTTTTTTTTTTTTTCTTTATTAGTAAAGAATATGTACTTGTTCAAAAGGAAGTCTGAAATGCAATCACTAAAGACCCTCGTTAAATTTAAGGTTTTTTTCTCTGGGAGAAGCAAATCATTTACCACTAGGGAGAGTAGAAAAACCCTGACTAGTAGCAGAAAGAGTGAGAATTCAAAGTCAGCAATTATTTCTAGAGCTGGCTTTGCCCTTCTTCCTTGCTCAAATGCGGAGAAGGCCTTCTGTTCATGAAAACAGACATCTTAGCCAAACACCAGAGTTAAAAATTAGGGCTCTCAATTTTCCACTGGGGAGGGCGGGTCCTGCCTGTGCTTGAGATACTTCACCTTAAGAAACAAACATTAGTTCATCCACTCAACAGGTAATTTGCTAGTTAATGAGGTTACAGCAGTATAAAACAGATGTGGTCAGTGCCACTTAATGGTGAGGAGAAAAACAATTCTCCCTGCCTTCAGTGGAGGTTGAGGGATAGGGGCTGGTGGATGACTAGGGGTGAAGGTAAACATGGATGAATATACAGACTGATGCATTTTGAGAAACTTATCGGAATGGAGTGAGAAAGAAGATACAAGGCTGGTGAACATGTGTTTAGGTTATTATTTAACAAACATAATGGTAAAACATTAAATTATTCTCTTACTATTTAGCAAAGTTAATAACTGAAAACTATTCCTACATTTTTTTTTTTCTTATTTGGTTAAGTTTTCTTTCAGTAAAACCTCCTTCGCTATCTTCACCCCATTCGAGAGATACTGAATTTGCATTCAATGAGTATATACTTCTGATAGCAGTATTACTCTATTTAGCTATATTAACTTGTTGGGGGAAAAAAAAAAAAGCAGTGGATGCTTTGTGCGTTCCATGTTTGAATAAGCCCATTTCTGTCTATTTCTAAAAATGTCAAATGTTTTTAAATGTTTTATGGATACCCATTTAAAATACATTTTTAAATTGTAAAACTGTGATATCAGGATATCAAAACTAAAAAAATAAACAGTCAAATTCTCTACTTTTAGGGAAAAGAAAGCATGACTCAAAAGTTTTAAAATACTTCCCCCTATGAAAACATTCTGTTCCTCCCTTTCACACCCTTCGTTTGCACAAGAAAAGATGAAGCGAGGGAGAAAAAGAAATGGAAATTAACACTGAGTTTAGGTGGCATATGAGGGTTTTATCAGCAGCTACAGAAACCACTTCCTCTCTTCAGTGTTAGTTTACTAATCTTTTGAAGCTTGACTGCACCTTCCACTCTTCACGTTCTATAGCCACTCACCTCCTCTCACATCCCACGTTACACCTCTATGTGCTATGGGATCCATCTAGGCAGTAGTTACTCTTATTTCAAAACAAGGATGTTAAAAATTACTTTACTCATCAACAAGTGAAAGATCATGCCTTGTGGCTTTGTGAGCTGTGCCACACGGCTTAGCTTTTTGACCCCAAAGCTTTCCCTAAAGTAAGAGATATCTGCTTACTATAAATGCTTCTTGAGTTGCTACAGGGGTAATTTGCAAAGAGGAAGCAGAGGCTCAGGATAATGCTAGATTTTTCATGTCTTGGTGTATAGGAATCTTTCCTTTTATGTTTATAAAATTAAAAATTAGGTGCATTCAGTATATGGCATACTGACAGAGCATAGGAACTGGACACTGACCAAGGTTTGAATGGTGACACTGCTATTTACAAGCTGTGGACTCTCTACAAGATAAGTAACTTGCAGATTATTATACTACCTATCTCAGGGTTTATGGGGATTATATTTTTAACGTAATTCAAAACATCTGAAATAGCAGATGTTTGATAAAAGTAGTTTTCTCTCTTTTCTTCTGAAATTCAAATAACCAAATTTCACATTGCTGGAATTTTGGTAAATCTTTATACAGGGGAATTATCACTCCTGAATCTCATTCACAATTATACAATATTCTTTCTTGATTATTCTAATCCACATTTTACTAGCACAGAAAAATTAAGTCAAAGACTCAGTAAGAAAAAGTGGTTTTCCCCAAGTCACCAGCTAGTTAATGGTAGAGTGTGGCCTGACATCAGTTTTCACAACTCCAAGGTAGGAAATGCCAAAAACAGTCTTTCAAAGATGGTGTGCAGTAGTCCTTCCCATATTTTCATTTTAAATTATTAAAACAAAAATAGTTTGTCAATGACAACTTCCATTTTCCCCAACGTGGTAGTACTACCTTTATAGTTAGATGCCAAATAACATATATTTTGATTAAATAGCTCTGAATTATCTTATATAACTTCTATTTTATTAATAGCAACAGGGTCTATTAATATGCACATATGAAAGTCATGCATGAATAGAAGACACACTACTGGTTAATATGTGTCTTTGATGCGTTTTGCTTCCTCCACTCCATAAATCAACTTCACATGGTCTGAATTTGGAAAACCTGGATATAAAGTTCTTCCTTGTTTACTGTTTTTTGCTTGCTACTCTTTTCCTCTCAAAAGAACTATGAATTTCTTGAAGGTCAAGAGAGCAGATTCTTAGAAAAAATATGAAGAAGACCAAGGTTTTTTATTTTTCTATGTTTCTCCTTTCCTTTTTTCTCAATCTCTGGAAACCTCCCACACTTGAGGGCCCAGGGCCCTCCTGCTGTGCTGTACTCTCTGGGCTTTATCTAAATTAAAATCTTTTAACCACTTTCTCTAGTATCACTAAGGGATTGTGTGGGAAAAATAATCTTAGCTAACTTTGAAGTTAGAAGTGATTTTTTAAATTGCATTAGTGGAGAGGCCATAATGTAGACATATTTTGTTACAGTTCTCAGAAGTGTTTGCATTTTAACCAGAGGCAATTAAATTCAATAAATATTTATTGAAGCCTATTCTCAACCTGAATAGCATCAATTACAGGACCTTCCTGCCATGCCCACCACCTAGAAACATGCTTAGGAAGGCAGACAAATAAATAAATTAAATGAAGCATGCAGTCAATATGGTGATGAAACCAGGTACACTCTGTAGCTGTTGTACAGAAGAAAGAACAGGAAGGACTTTCTCAACGATCCAAAGGAATTCATCATAAAAGTGAAATTTCAGACATCAGTGATAAACTAGTAGAAAAATTGCTACCCCTAAGCTAAATTTCACTGTTTTGTCACATTGAAACTTTATGTAAACAAAATAGAAACTTTCATGCCTCTTTGCCAAATTCTTCCCTCTGCCTAAGGCACCCTACCTAAGTCAGTTTCTCTTTTTCTGTCTCTCTCTGTCTCTCTTTCATCTTCTCCTTCTCTCTCTCTCTTGCTCACTAGCTCTCATACTCACTCTGCTCTTACTGTAAAAGCAAAACATGTGCAACCATCACAGACTAGCTATAACCTCTCCTCCTTAGATTCAAATCTCTTATTTGCCTTTAGAAGAATTAGAAGAATGGTTCTCTTCTTCATGCTCTCCTCAAACTGTATTTAAAACTCACAGCCTTTATCATATTCTGTGTATTAAGTCACTACCACTCAGTTTAGTAGTAATAAAATTTTACCTTTCTATTATAAATCTTATAGTTTACAAAGTACTTTCGTATATATCATCACACGTGATCCTGACAACAGCTCTTTAAGGTGAGAATTATCTTTGTTTTATTATGAGAATATCTAAACCTCAGAGAAATTACCCAAGATAATACATTTAGTAAGCGGCTGCCAAAGTTAGGTCTTCTGACGCTAAAGTGATTTCCCTAATGTAATTTTGAGACAATATTCTTTGCACAACATCTTACAAATTGAGAACATCATACTGGATCTGAATGGAGAAAATAATAAGCTACATATTCTTAAACTTTATAGTTTCCTTGCCTCTTATGTTTAACTATCCAATAATTTTTATTTACCACACTTTTTTAACATTTCTCTTCAAAACTGCAAGTTCTGTTTTTGTTCCAGAAATACTCTGTGGAATTAACATGTGCATAGAGTCAAACTACTTGAATTTTATTTTAAAATATATTTGCAAAGGTCTTTCTGTGCATAATGTATTAGATCACCTGACTCAAGGAATTAAACAATATACTGTTAATATTATGACTGGGAAATTTCCTTTAAATAATTTTAATTATTCACTCAATCGTGGGTTTGCGTTTTTGCCCCTGCTACATGGAATAACTACATCATATAATTTAAAGTAGAGTCAAGTTTAGACACAGTATGTCTTGAGCTGTTATTTAATAGAAACGGCTCTGAGAAGTTGCTACATCTAACTAGTGTCAGAAACTTTCCTAGGTTAGCTAACACTTATGAGGCAGGAAGAAACTTGAGTCACTATGTAGCCAACTGTCCATTTTCCCCACAATAATGAATGTCATGTGCTCATTATAGTAACCCTTTCTAAAACACTAAAAAATATTTACAGTAAAAAAAAAATATATATATAGGGCTTTGGAAAGGCATTTCTCCATGGCATTTCTGTTGATCTTGTGTTAGGTTATCTTTTCAAGGTTGTTCCCATAGCAAAGAGCTTCTTTGAAGCTAGAAATAGTGTCTCCTTACAGGTCAAAGGACAGATTTATTTGCTCACCAGGACAGCGAAGATGAGATGTTTCCATCTTCTTTCTGGAGACATTCCAACATAATCAAGATATTGTCTTTTCCAGAGGAAATGTGGATAGGTTCGCCAGAAATCCCTATATAAAATTAGGATATCGTCATCTGAGAGTTCGTCAATCATAACAGAGAATCATGGAGTGATTATTATTTACCTGGACCCATGTCTGCCTTGCCCCCTCCTTCTTTCTTTTAGTATTATTAAATAAATATTTTCTCCTATTATTATGAACTCCATGTACAGATTTTTATTAGCTGCAAATATTTCCTCATTTACACAAACCATAATTTTTTGCTCACTCCTATATAATTTTTTTCTCTACTATAAATACACATTAATAAACATCATTGCTCTTAATTTTGTCTGTATATTATATGATTTTTAATAGGATGGCTGTGCAGATGTGAAATTATCTAAAAAAATGCTAAAAAGATTATTTGAGATTCTTATTTCATTTTACCAAAATGCTTTCCAAAATATTTGAACCATGTTGTGTTCTCCCTAGGCATGTCAGAATGTGTTTTCATAACTGTAATCTTTCACTTCTTCTTCACCACTCATGGTTTTAGCTATTCTGAATTATTCACACTTCCTCAAATTTCTATAGACCTATTCAACATGTTCTCTCCTTGACTTTAAATGCTGTTGGCATACACAACTCTTACCCTGCAGAGCTCAGCCTATCACTTTCTCAGAGAGTTCTCTGACTTCCTAAACTACCATACGTTATCATTATGATACTGACACTTATGTTTGTGACACTCATCCCACAGGTGACTGAGGTTTTATTTCTGGCTTAAATTTAAGCTCCATGAGAGCAAAGGTCTCATCTGCCATGTTCATTGCTGACTCCCTGCTGCTAACACAGCTTAGCATGGAGTAAGTAAATATGCACTTGTATGAATGAATGAATCTTTCTTGAAAAAGTGAATTTTTTTCAATATTCATAAAAATCTAGTGAGATAGGCATGGCAATTATCCCTAATTTGACCTGTAATGAATCACAGAAATAGTTTGATCTTCTCAATGTCCAAATGAGTTGGTGACAGAGATATAATTATAAGCCAGGTTTCTTGGCTCCTAGCAGATACTTTTTCCAATATATGTTTCAGATATTCTGAGTATTTCTGTGATTTAAAATGACAGTTTTGTGCAAATTGAGTTCTAGGGAGAATCATAGAGATTCTCTAAATATTTATTGTCTATGTGTCTATAGCGATATCTAATAATACCCCTGAATCAATAATTTTTCTACTAATGGATTCAATTTAACAAAATCAGAAATTATAACCACAGAGGGAATAGTTTGTTTTTTCAGCCTTCTAGGGAATCATGTTAAACTTAGTTCAGAAAATTAGATGATAATTTCGTTTTGACTTTCAGACATGTCATGTGAATCACACACAGATGAGTTTTCCTTAATTAGCTCTTGCAATTATGCAACAGGTTTGTTGCCTACAACTTTTAAATTTTCTAAAGAAAAATCAAGAAAGACAGTCCAGTATGGGACACTAATTTTTAATTACTCCTCCTCATTCAGGTTCTAAGCAACTAGAAAGTTCAACTTGTGATAATGTTTCTATATCCTTTTATGAGAGAAAAATGATAAGTTGACATTTAAAATGTTTTAAAAGCATCTCAGTATATGACACGTTCTGGTATAACAGTATAATGAAACCTACCAGGTTTAACATGCTGCTCAGTCTATAGCACAGAACAACATGTTCATAGTAATGTTCATCAGGAGTGGCCACACGGCAGTTTCAGTGGCGCCTAAGTTCTCTAGAAGGTTGGGGGTGGTTGACTCCAGATTTCTGATCACTGTCCCAATAAGCTAGGAATATTTGCCAGGAGCCCAAGAAATGGGACACCAATTTGGCATATGGTCCTGAAGATAGAAGCCAAAGTTGGCTATGACTTAGGGATGGCTGAAGTAAAAATTCATTCATCAAATATTAGACTCAAAACTTCCTTGCTTTTATCATATCATTCGTTCTTACTTGGTCCTTTTTCTGCATATCTTAATTTATCTTTTATAAAGATAAGTTTCACAAAATTTATCTTCTTAAACATTTTTGTTAAATTTTACTTTAAAACTATCTTCAGCTCTTTCTTTCCCTCTTTTCCCCTGCATGATATAGGCTTTCTTTGGGTGATATCTATGCTTATAACGTCAGTTCTCCTTTATTTAGTGATGACTAATAAAAACTGTGTTAGCCAGTGCCTAAGGTAGTCTGAACACCTTTTAAATATTCTCATTGTCTGCCTATTCCTTGAAGAGAGTAGATGCTCAATAAATATTTATTGCAAGATTGAATGACCATCCCCGAGTCCTACACCAATATTCCCAGGCTTTTACTAGGCAACTCCATTATTATATCCCACAGGTACTTCAAAGACATATCCCCATTTGAATGAACTTTTTTTCCAAAAATACCTATTCTATTGTCATTTCCTCTTGATTAGTAGCTGCAACGCTTACTAGTAGGTACTTCATGTTGAATAGATATTTATTGAATAAATACAGTTTTTAAGATTAAAAAAGCATTATACCTATTATATTATAAATGGATGACCATTTATTCAGTATAACCAGAATATCTTTTTAGTCTGTATACAAGTAAGACAGTATGGTGTACTGGGAAGAAATAGGTATCTGACTTTTCATAAATTGAAAATCAACCAAGCTTTCTAGTTTAGCTACTTATTAACTGCATTATGTTTATTGAGATGCTTAATCTCTTTGTTTGGAACACTTTTTCATTTCCAAAATGAAGTAAATAATGCCTGCCTTATAGTGCACCTGTAAGGATTAGACAGTGTGAATGTATACGTATTGTCTATAGATAATAGACACTTAATAAACAGTAACTGTTATTATAAAAATGAGGTTGAGTATAGTGGTTCATGCCTGTAATCCCAGCACTTTGGGAGGCCAAGGCAGGGGGATCACAAGGTCAAGAGTTCAAGACTAGCCTGGCCAACATGGTGAAACCCTGTCTCTACTAAAATACAAAAATTAGCTGGGTATTATGGCGTGTGCATGTAATCCCAGCTACTCAGTAGGCTGAGGCAGGAGAATCACTTGAACCTGGGAGGTGGAGGTTGCAGTGAGGCAAGATCGTGCCACTGCATTCCAGCCTGGGCGACAGAGCGAGACTTCATCTCAAATATATATATATATTTATATATAATACTGTTGTCAGTAATCTATACCCTACATCAGTGAGAAGGCCTGTTAACATTATAGAAGCCAAAAAACGAAAAAAAATATTAGAAGTTAAAAACATAAGGCACCTAATAACAGTATGAATTTGCATTCCTAGAATTCTCTCCTTCTAAACTCAATCTTAACTAGATGCTGGAATGAGATAAAACCCAGCACTGGCAAGCTGGCAAGTGTTTGAGAGAACATTTGAGGCTGGCTTAGACAGAATTTCCAGAGGAGAGGGCTATTGTGCAACACTTATGAATAGGCAAAAAGTATAAGTTTCAAACAAGATATAATATACATACATGGATGTGTACCAACTAGCACAGCAACCAAATCTATTAAGAACATGCAATTAAATAAGTGAAAAGTTAGAGTGAAGCTACATTGAAAGATTTCAATTACTCTTTTAGAATTGAAAGTTAAAATAGACCAAAAAAAAAAGCAAGGTCATAAAGAGATTTAATCCAATCATATTGAGTGTATATCACAGGCCTATTGAGCAGTAAAATGTAATTTTTTATACGTTCATTTCATAAAACTCAGTTGTTAACTTCGCCACAAAGAAAGCATTAATAAAATCTTAAATATTGGCATTTTAAAGGCCACATTCTCCAAACAAACTACTAAAATAAGAAAACAAATTATAATAAAAACTTAACTTGTTATAATAAGCAACTGACTCCTTAATAACCTATAGAACAAGCTAGAAATCAAACCTAAATTAAACTTTTTAATACAAAGGAAAAGAAACACTTTATATTATAACTTGTGGGATGCAAGTTTGTCTCAGAAGAAAACTTAAGAGCCTAATGTGTCTTTATTTTTTAAGGAAAGGATTGAAAATGAGGTACTAAGTACTGTTAATAAATTAGAATAGAAGAAATAAGCTGAGACAAAGTAGGAAGAAAAAATTAGAACTAATAAAAGATGAAATTAATAAATTAAAAATAAACAAAATATCAGGGTAGATGAATACATCCCAAGATTCTTTTTAAAAAAATTATATCCAAATTTAGATCCATCAAATGCTTCATTAAATAAAAATATACAATTTTGTAAGTAATAAAAAATTTTGAAAACAGAAACAGTGATCCTAAAATTTATATGGAGGGGAAAAATGCCAGAGAAAAGCTGAGAAATATGTAAAAAGGAATAGTGTCAGAACTTGCTTTAAAGCTAATTGCTGAAACAAAACAGCAAACTACTCCAGAATTTGTTACTGAAATTTAGAGGGAAAATAATATTTATTTTTTATTTATTAATTATTTATTTATTTTGAGACGGAGTCTTGCTCTGTCCCCCACCCAGGCTGGAGTGCAGTGGCGCAATCTCGGCTCACTGCAAGCTCCGCTTCCCGGGTTCACTACATCCTCTTGCCTCAGCCTCCTGAGTAGCTGGGACTACAGGCACCCGCCACCACGCCCGGCTAATTTTTTGTATTTTTAGTAGAGACGGGGTTTCACCGTGTTAGCCAGCACGGTCTCAATCTCCTGACCTCATGATCTGCCCGCCTCGGCCTCCCAAAGTGCTGGGATTACAGGCATGAGCCACAGCGCCCGGCCGGAAAATAGTATTTATTTATTAAATCGTTCTGTTACCACTGGCTAGATGAAAAGACAACTTACATATCACATCATATAGAAAACTAGGTTTTAGGTGTTTCAGAGAGACAATATTAAAATTAAAGAACAATTATTTGAAATATTTCAACAATTCGAAATATTTAAATTAAAAAATGTTTAAAGTAGCTCAGAAGAGAATGGAAGTGTTTGAGGAAGAGGTCAGGTGGGACGTGAGAGGACTGACATTCCTGGTGGAAATGTGATTAGCTAAGTCTCTTCTGGACATTTAATCTA